GAAATTAATTTATTACTTTGGTCTTTGTTCAGTAAGTGTTTGGTTAAGCTTATTTCAGTAGGAGACTTCACAAGTGCAAGTGATTAGTGTTAGAGTTAAGTCCCTCTAGTTTAGAACATCCAAAAAATTCACACACAAACACACTTAAAATACAAATGCACACACAAAACACACACTCATGCAATATCACACATCAAACATCATACCAGTGAGTTTAGACTCTCTAATTTAGCAAACCCCACAAAATTAACAAACACACTCAAAATACAAATGCACACACAAAACACACACTCATGCAATATTACACATCAAACATCATACCAGTGAGTTTAGACCCTCTAATTTAGCAAACCCCACAAAATTCAAACACACACTCAAAATACAAATGCACACACAAAACACACACATACACATGAAACATCACACATCACACATCATGCATCATACATCACACATCACACATCATACATCACACATCACACATCACACATCATACAACACACATCATGCATCATACATCACACATCATACATCACACATCATACATCACACATCATACATCACACATCACACATTATACACCACACATCACACATTATACACCACGCATCACAATCATGTTAGCTGCCCCACTCCAAAGCCTTCACAAACTCTTCTTCAGAAAACTGCAGCATTTTGGCTGCTTCAATGTGCATCTGTGAACAGAGAAGTGCAGTGGTTAAAGGAAATCTGTCTATGGTGTATGATTGATGTTGCACCAGTGATGTTACCACTACACAATAACACCTCAAGTGTGTCAGCAATTGCTCCTATCATCAACACTACAAATGACAACCTTCAAGTGTGTCACCAGGTAACACTTACACATTATGTTGTATGCGGTTGATTGTTCAAAGCCCTCCCTACATCTCCCCACCTACCCGAAAAAATATCTCCAAAAAGTCAACCTAAACATCCCTCCCACCACACCTTATAACATCTTCAAATATATTTAATACCCAACTAGCCAGACCACCTCTTCCACCCCCACCTCAAGTTCTTCCACCACACCACTATTCCCTAATCGTCAGTAATACCATCCCCCCCCCACCCACTTCTCTTGCCCCAACTGACCTTCTGCCTCCCTCCCCCCTCCCCCCCCCCACTTCTCTTGCCCCAACTGACCTTCTGCCTCCCTCCCCCCACCCACCCACTTCTCCTGCCCCAACTGACCTTCTGCCTCCCTCCCCCCCCCCCTCCCCCCCCCCCCACTTCTCTTGCCCCAACTGACCTTCTGCCTCCCTCCCCCCTCCCCCCCCCACTTCTCTTGCCCCAACTGACCTTCTGCCTCCCTCCCCCCCACCCACCCACTTCTCCTGCCCCAACTGACCTTCTGCCTCCCTCCCCCCCCCCCTCCCCCCCCCCCCCACTTCTCTTGCCCCAACTGACCTTCTGCCTCCCTCCCCCCACCCACCCACTTCTCCTGCCCCAACTGACCTTCTGCCTCCCTCCCCCCCCCTCCCCCCCCCCCCCCCACTTCTCTTGCCCCAACTGACCTTCTGCCTCCCTCCCCCCACCCACCCACTTCTCCTGCCCCAACTGACCTTCTGCCTCCCTCCCCCCCCCCCTCCCCCCCCCCCCACTTCTCTTGCCCCAACTGACCTTCTGCCTCCCTCCCCCCCTCCCCCCCCCCCCACTTCTCTTGCCCCGACTGACCTTCTGCCTCCCTCCCCCTCCCCCCCCCCCACTTCTCTTGCCCCAACTGACCTTCTGCCTCCCCTCTCCCCCCACCCACCCACTTCTCTTGCCCCGACTGATCTTCTGCCTCCCCTCCCCCCTCCCCCCACCCACTTCTCTTGCCCCAACTGACCTTCTGCCTCCCCTCTCCCCCCACCCACCCACTTCTCCTGCCCCGACTGACCTTCTGCCTCCCTCCCCCCTCCCCCCCCCACCCACTTCTCTTGCCCCAACTGACCTTCTGCCTCCCTCCCCCCTCCCCCCCCCCACCCACTTCTCTTGCCCCAACTGACCTTCTGCCTCCCTCCCCCCTCCCCCCCCCCACCCACTTCTCTTGCCCCAACTGACCTTCTGCCTCCCTCCCCCCTCCCCCCCCCACCCACTTCTCTTGCCCCAACTGACCTTCTGCCTCCCCTCTCCCCCCACCCACTTCTCTTGCCCCAACTGACCTTCTGCCTCCCTCCCCCCCCCCACCTCTTGCCCCAACTGACCTTCTGCCTCCCTCCCCCCCCTCCCCCCCCCCCCCCACTTCTCTTGCCCCGACTGACCTTCTGCCTCCCTCCCCCCTCCCCCCACCCACTTCTCCTGCCCTGACTGACCTTCTGCCTCCCTCCCCTCCCCTCCCCCCCCTCCCCTCCCCCCCCCTCCCCCCCCCCCACTCCTCCTGACCTTCTGCCTCTTGAGAATGTCAATCAGCTTCATCTGTTTCTTGAAGCCAGACATGAGCTCGTTCTTCTGTTTCTCCAGCCTCTTGTTCTCTGACATCAGTTGGTCCAGTCTCTTCTTGTCTGTCTCATGGGCGTCCTGTGGACAGGGCAAGGTCAAGGCTTAGCTCTGAGCTTAACTTGTAACTCAACTTTAAATAAAGCCTTTAAGTAAATTGTTTAGCCTTCAGCTAAACTTATAACTAAGCTCTGAGCTAAACTTATAACTCAGCTCTGAGCTAAACTTATAACTCAGCTCTGAGCTTAACTTATAACTTAGCTCTGAGCTAAACTTATAACTCAGCTTTAAATAAAACATTTATGTGAATTGTTTAGCTTTGAGCTAAACTTATAACTAAGCTCTGAGCTTAACTCATAACTCAACTTTAAATAAAGCCTTTATGTAAATTGTTTAGCTCTGAGCTAAACTTATTACTAAGCTCTGAGCTTAACTCATAACTCAACTTTAAATAAAGTCTTTAAGTAAATTGTTTAGCTTTGAGCTAAATGTATAATTAAGCTCTGAGCTTAACTCATAACTCAACTTTAAGTAAAGCCTTTATGTAAATTGTTTAGCTCTGAGCTAAACTTATTACTAAGTTCTGAGCTTACCTCATACCTCAACTTTAAATAAAGCCTTTATGTAAATTGTTTAGCTCTGAGCTAAACTTATAACTAAGCTCTGTGCTCAACTCATAACTCAACTTTAAATAAAGGATTTATTTAAACTGTATCTCTAAGACAATTGTCTTCTTCTTCTTTGCTGTTAATTTTAGTGTTGGAAGGGGATACCCTCCATCACAATTAAGTATACATGTCAACTGGTTATGCGCCATTGAGGACATTGACTCCGATTTCAACCTTCTTTTCTTTTTGAATTTGCTTCCATAGCCTGTTTCCAACCAAGAACAAACTACAAGGCAGCAGTTGTTTGATTTTTGAGTTGTCTCTCCTAGAAGAGTGGCTGTCCCTAACTAACAATCCTCACCTACCCGAGGGTTTGAACTCGAGACTTTTTGGTTTAGCAACCATGAGCTATACCGACTCGACCACGCCGACCCCTTAGACCAGGGGTCTCCAAACTACGGCCCGCGGGCCGAAGTCCTCTCATCCGACCCGCTGAGATCTTTTTGTCCAAGTAAAAATCGTTTGTTGGTGATAGCTGAGGAATTTTGCCCAGAAAAATCAAAGACATGTCTGGAAGAAACTGGCCCCCGAACTGAAATTTGATAGTTAATGTGGCCCTTGGACTGAAAAGTTTGGAGACCCCTGCCTTAGACAATTGTGAGTGTGATATGATTTTTTTATACAATACATTCAACTAGTATTCTCCTTGATATAGAGTAGAAGAACAGTTATGGAACTTACCTTATAATAAATAAATAGTATTTCTTAGACCATTATATATTCGTAATAGAATATCTTTTTTAGAAGTATTACAGAAAATATTTATTACATTAAGTTCATTTCCTATGAACCATAACTCTCCTTGCAAGAAAGCAACAAAAGAGAGTTAACTTTTCTATTCTTTAAACAATAATAACTGCAACAGAATTGTTTTTTTTTTTTTAATTTCTGAAAATATTTATCAGCTAAGTTCTATAACTCCCAGTGACTGAGAGCAGGAAAACAGAGTTATGGAACTTGCCTTGGATGTGGTTTTAGCCTTTCCCAGCTCCTCCCTGTACTTCTCTATCTCCTCTAAAGCCCTGTTGAGTCTGACCTCTGTAGCAGACTGTGACGTCTGCTGCTGCTTCTGGTTTCTTTTCATCTGGTCCAGCTCCTACATGGAGGCAAGGGGGGGGGGGGGGGTTATAAAAATAATTGTTTTAATTCTCTGACTGGTATTCTTATATATAAAAGCCCATGAACACACTTCTCTCTCTCTCAATCTGCAACATTTTTGAGGCTATGTCATCAGTATGTTCATAGAGTACTTAAAGATACGGACTTATTGAAAATAATATGTTGGATGTTTTAACTATATAAACTAAATTTTATCTAAAGAAGGAAAATAAATATAAAGGTATATATTCTAATGTAAAGCACAATTTTAATAATGCCACCGATATAGTGTTTTTTCTTGTAAAAAGCACGCTAAAAAAATGATGTCATGTGTTTAAACTACGGTAAGTACACATCTTCCAATTTTAGAGTATGAAGAAATGAACTTTTTCATTCAAATTTGATTTAGATCTATAGATCTACTTATCAAGATGTACGCTATGAAATGTATACAATTTTATTGGCCAAAAACAATACAAATTATTTTAGAAAACAACATAATGACCCATTGAACGGCCGGGTTTTAACGGAATAATTTAACAGTGTGCATTTAATATGGTGTTGTGTTGACTAATAATGTATATAATTTGGTTTTTCTCATAGGTATTGGTAGCCTATGTTATTTTAAATGTGTTGGATTTTTAGCTATTTAGTTATTTCTTTGCTTAGTCACAATTATTGATCAACGTGTAATAAAGAACGTAGCGTTTTGACCAATATAACTGTTTTATAAAATATTTTTCTCAAACAAGTATAACACTAAAATATACAGGCCTATAATTCACGTGTAATGGGTACCAATGACTAGTGATCAATAATTCTTGATCACAAATGTTCCATAAATTTCCTGTTTTTTGTTTATTCTTACAGTAGCATTGGTGCATAAGGAAGCTGGAACAGATTTGCATTCTACTTTTGATTTTACTGAAGAGGGCATGAAGATTCCTTTATTTTGTAATCTACTATATCTACTTTGTAACACTGGCTAACTACAACATTAGACAAGTTAGTGAAAATTCTCTTATCTACTATATCTACATAAGAGAATTTTCACAAACTTTTCTAATGTTGTAGTTAGCCAGTGTTACAAAGGATAATGAAAATAAATAAATATATTAAAAGGTAGTTACAGGTAAGACAGAAATAACCTTTTAACCTTTTAACTAGTTCGCCTACGATGCCAATAAGAAGGAAAATAGAAAAAATCTTTGTGAACTATATTTGGGTTACGACGCAAATAAGAAAAAACCTTTGAGAATTATATTTGGGTTATGACGCAATTAAGAAAATACCTTTGTGAACTATATTTGGCTTATGACACAATTAAGAACATACCTTTGTGAACTATATTTGGCTTATGACACAATGAAGAAACAAGTTAATAAAAAGTCCAGTGACAATTTAAGCGCAATTTCCTTATGTTATCCATAACAAATTTTTGTGACCGAACGAAAGGATATTTTTGAAAACTTTCTTCGGCAATATTGTTCTCTAAATTATGGCAGAAATCGATTGGTAAATGTTTCAAGTCGCTAAGTGGTCTGGTTGCCAAGATATGGACCAAAAACTGCATTTTTTCGAGGTTTTTTGGCTTTTCCGGGAAATCCAGGAAGGAATTCCGGGAAATTACGCTAAAAACCTTTGTGAACTATATTTGGCCTATGACACAATTGAGAAATAACCTTTCTGAACTATATTTGGCTTATGACACAAATAAGAAAAAACTTTGAAACTGTAGTTTGCTTACAAAAAAATAACACTCAAGAAATAGTTTTCAGTTTGCCTATGACACCAACAAAAATATCTTTTTTGAACTGTATTTTTGCCCATCACACCAATAAGAAAAAAAGCCTTTTAACTGTAAATTGCCTATGACAGAATAAAGAAAACATCTTTTCACTGTAGTTTGCCTAAGATTAGAATAAGAAAAAAAATTCTAACTGTACTCTACCATTGACACACACAAAAAAAGAATTAAAAAAAACACCTTTTTTAAGGCTATCATCTGGTTTTCTAAGCTATCACTTTTGGCTTTAGCGTCCTCTGCCATTTTCTTGTACTTATCTATCTGCTGCTGCTGGGCTGAGCTGGTCCGAAGCAAACGGTTTCTTTCTTCTTCACTCTCTTTTACCTTTTGGCTGAGTGTTCTAATTTCATCTTCCTGTACATCAAGGGAAATAACGCTTTTTCAATTCAAGGGCGATAATCCAAATTCAAATATTTAAATTTCTCACTTCTGCTAAATAAATATGTAATTGAAATAAAGATTATAAAACATGACTTTAAATAGAAGATTGGAGTTTTGATTATAAATTTCAGATAAATTTCTTATGCATAACATAACATACAGATATTTTCAATTTATCAAACACCCATTTCAAACAATGTTATTTTTTAATCTGTTTATTTTTAAGATCTTTGTTGTCATCTCAATTAACGTTCTACTGGGCTTATCGATGAATAATATTAGAGGTTACTATGTTTAAATATAAGTTTTGGGATGGAGTGGTCTAGCGGACTGCCAACCCATTAGCTTGAGTTTGATACTGGGTTCAAGTCAGTAGACCACATCAACTCTTCATATGCCGAGGTCACAGAATCAAGTGAACTTCACTAGCCTCATCAGGTTTAAAAGGGAACTTTACTTATTTGTAACATATGTACAAAAAAGGAAACAAAGGCTGGTTGAAAAATATACAGTTCACATCTCATCATAAAATAAAAAATATATATAAAAAAAAAATTTTATAAAAAAGTTTTTAAAAAATGTTTTTTTTTAAATTTAGAATGTGGATTTCTGTAAAAAAAATTTTTTTTTAAAAAGCAACATCTTCTCCATTACTGTAACAAATGTAACAAAGTCTATAGATCACCTTTTTGTGATTTTCATGGACAAGCCTGTCAAGTTCCTCCTGCATGACACGTAGCTTTGCCTTCAAGAATCTGAGCATAGCCTCTACAATAGAACAAATCATTGAATGTATGAGCAACATCTACAATAGAACAAATCATTGAATGTATGAGTATAGCCTCTACAATAGAACAAATCATTGAATGTATGAGTATAGCCTCTACAATAGAACAAATCATTGAATGTATGAGTATAGCCTCTACAATAGAACAAATCATTGAATGTATGAGTATAGCCTCTACAATAGAACAAATCATTGAATGTATGAGTATAGCCTCTACAATAGAAAATTCATTGAATGTATGAGCAACATCTACAATAGAACAAATCATTGAATGTATGAGCATGGCCTATACAATAGAACAAATCATTGAATGTATGAGCAACATCTACAATAGAACAAATCATTGAATGTATGAGCATGGCCTCTACAATAGAACAAATCATTGAATGTATGAGCAACATCTACAATAGAACAAATCATTGAATGTTTGAGCATAGCCTCTACAATAGAACAAATCATTGAATGTATGAGCATGGCCTCTACAATAGAACAAATCATTGAATGTATGAGCATGGTCTCTACAATAGAACAAATCATTGAATGTATGAGCATGGTCTCTACAATAGAACAAATCATTGAATGTATGAGCAAGGCCTCTACAACAAATCATTGAATGTATGAGTATGGCCTCTACAATAGAACAAATCATTGAATGTATGAGCATAGCCTCTACAATAGAACAAATCATTGAATGTATGAGCATGGCCTCTACAATAGAACAAATCATTGAATGTATGAGCATGGTCTCTACAATAGAACAAATCATTGATAGCCTCTACAATAGAACAAATCATTGAATGTATGAGTAACATCTACAATAGAACAAATCATTGAATGTATGAGCATAGCCTCTACAATAGAACAAATCATTGAATGTATGAGCAACATCTACAATAGAACAAATCATTGAATGTATGAGCATGGCCTATACAATAGAACAAATCATTGAATGTATGAGCAACATCTACAATAGAACAAATCATTGAATGTATGAGCATGGCCTCTACAATAGAACAAATCATTGAATGTATGAGCAACATCTACAATAGAACAAATCATTGAATGTTTGAGCATAGCCTCTACAATAGAACAAATCATTGAATGTATGAGCATGGCCTCTACAATAGAACAAATCATTGAATGTATGAGCATGGTCTCTACAATAGAACAAATCATTGAATGTATGAGCATGGTCTCTACAATAGAACAAATCATTGAATGTATGAGATGAGCATGTCCTCTACAATAGAACAAATCATTGAATGTATGAGCATCATCTCTACACTAGAACAAATCATTGAATGTATGAGCATGGTCTCTAGAACAAATCATTGAATGTATGAGCATGGCCTCTACAATAGAACAAATCATTGAATGTATGAGCAACATCTACAATGGAACAAATCATTGAATATATGAGCATGGCCTCTACAATAGAACAAATCATTGAATGTATGAGCATGGCTCTACAATAGAACAAATCATTGAATGTATGAGCATGGCCTCTACAATAGAACAAATCATTGAATGTATGAGCATGGTCTCTAGAACAAATCATTGAATGTATGAGCATGGCCTCTACAATAGAACAAATCATTGAATGTATGAGTATGGCCTCTACAATAGAACAAATCATTGAATGTATGAGCATGGCCTCTACAATAGAACAAATCATTGAATGTATGAGTATAGCCTCTACAATAGAACAAATCATTGAATGTATGAGCATGGCCTATACAATAGAACAAATCATTGAATGTATGAGTATGGCCTCTACAATAGAACAAATCATTGAATGTATGAGCATGGCCTCTACAATAGAACAAATCATTGAATGTATGAGCATGGCCTCTACAATAGAACAAATCATTGAATGTATGAGCAACATCTACAATAGAACAAATCATTGAATGTATGAGCATGGCCTCTACAATAGAACAAATCATTGAATGTATGAGCATGGCCTCTACAATAGAACAAATCATTGATAGCCTCTACAATAGAACAAATCATTGAATGTATGAGCATGGCCTCTACAATAGAACAAATCATTGAATGTATGAGCATGGCCTCTACAATAGAACAAATCATTGAATGTATGAGCATGGTCTCTACAATAGAACAAATCATTGAATGTATGAGTATAGCCTCTACAATAGAACAAATCATTGAATGTATGAGCATGGCCTCTACAATAGAACAAATCATTGAATGTATGAGCATGGCCTCTACAATAGAACAAATCATTGAATGTATGAGCATGGCCTCTACAATAGAACAAATCATTGAATGTATGAGTTTGGCCTCTACAATAGAACAAATCATTGAATGTATGAGCATGGCCTCTACAATAGAACAAATCATTGAATGTATGAGTATAGCCTCTACAATAGAACAAATCATTGAATGTATGAGCATAGCCTCTACAATAGAACAAATCATTGAATGTATGAGCAACATCTACAATAGAACAAATCATTGAATGTATGAGTATGGCCTCTACAATAGAACAAATCATTGAATGTATGAGCAACATCTACAATAGAACAAATCATTGAATGTATGAGCATAGCCTCTACAATAGAACAAATCATTGAATGTATGAGCAACATCTACAATAGAACAAATCATTGAATGTATGAGTATGGCCTCTACAATAGAACAAATCATTGAATGTATGAGTATGGCCTATACAATAGAACAAATCATTGAATGTATGAGTATGGCCTCTACAATAGAACAAATCATTGAATGTATGAGTATGGCCTCTACAATAGAACAAATCATTGAATGTATGAGCAACATCTACAATAGAACAAATCATTGAATGTATGAGCATAGCCTCTACAATAGAACAAATCATTGAATGTATGAGCAACATCTACAATAGAACAAATCATTGAATGTATGAGTATGGCCTCTACAATAGAACAAATCATTGAATGTATGAGCAACATCTACAATAGAACAAATCATTGAATGTATGAGCATAGCCTCTACAATAGAACAAATCATTGAATGTATGAGCAACATCTACAATAGAACAAATCATTGAATGTATGAGTATGGCCTCTACAATAGAACAAATCATTGAATGTATGAGCATGGTCTCTACAATAGAACAAATCATTGAATGTATGAGTATGGCCTCTACAATAGAACAAATCATTGAATGTATGAGTATGGCCTCTACAATAGAACAAATCATTGAATGTATGAGCATGGCCTCTACAACAAATCATTAAATGTATAATCTGTACAGCTTGATAAAAAATTCAATATGACCTCTATAACATATAGGTGCATTAAAATTATAAGCTGTACAAGCTCCTTAGTAACAGAGGGATATACAAATGAAGATAAATATAAATAACTGATTTAAAAAATGGCAAATAAGCTCTCGTTTGAAGTAATTTTTTCAGCACAAAAAGCCATATGAAAAAGAGTTACTGACCTCTAAAAATGTGTTAATAATGCATTTAATAAAAATATGAAATTTTTTCCTTTCATGGTTTTTGTATTAACTTACATGTTTAAATTAAAATAATTTTTTTAGATTATGTATTATAAATGAATGAACTTTATTCAGAACTAAACCATAAGAAGTTGGTAGTCACCATAATATGTATTCAAATAATTTTTGTTTAAAAATATTACTTTATTAATTAAAAATATATTTTTTTCATTGAAAAATTCATTTTTATAGTTTTTGTAATGGCTTTGGAGACAGATAATTAATTGTATATGGAACCATTGCTAACACAAAAACACACAAGTTCTGTGATGCGACCAGCGATTGATTTCCAGCCCTCCACCAACAAACCACACAACCAACACACAGTGGTGGGAGAGAAATTACAGGCCTAGTGTTGATAAACATGTCCAGCAGCTGGCAATAAATTTTAAACATTTTGAATACCCTGTTGCTGTTCGGCTTCAGTGCAATGCTCAATATGGCAATGGCCATAGAAGTTGAACAAGATAAAGATAACGTCTTTACAAATCATAACTTTATAGAGTCAAAAAATGTAGGAGATGAGTTCAAATGTTGGAGTGTTACCTGAGCCCATGTCGGACGCCCCCTGGGGTAGGATATCCTCATCACCATCGTCCCCTGTCCCCATGCTGTCCTCCCCTAGACGGGAGGATAACTCCGAGAACTCCATATGTAGCGCTGTCATGAAGGAATCCTCCGGAACTGCCACATCATCAGCAGCTCGCACTGGAGCTGATTTCTTTTTGCTGTTTTATTTTGAAATATTAAGTAACTTCCCTTTTCAACTGAATTTAATAGTTATATTAAATTAGTTCCCTTTTTGACTGACTTATCTCTTTAAGCCCATTGTTAAATTCACGTTTAACTGGAATATTTTTTTTAACCAATTTTTACCAGTAACTATGCCACTAAATGAGGTATATCTTTTTACCTGTAGATTTAAAACCCACATATTACTGTTATATATTAATCGTAATTTAATACCCTACACTGATATTAATCTTAACTAATTATTTACTTATTGAAGATCGATAATTACTTAGTTTTCAAGAAGAAAAAATTAAGTGTTAAAACAATGCTGTTCTGCTAATGGTTTTACAAAAAAATTTAAAATAAAATATAAAATTAACCCAACAGGAAAACTACAAGAATACACTGGAAAATCTAGCTGTATCACCAATCCAGATTTATGATTAAAAACGTAGATACAGACAAACCACAAAATTAACAAAAGATGCTGGGAGAGGCATAGCAGTCTTAAAGAACTAATTAATAATATCAAATTAATCCCCTTTTCATTCAACATTAATAATGATAATATTTAATTATTTCCCATTTAAATTTAATAGTAACATAATTTTATTCACTTACAGTTTAGTAATAATGTTTACACTTGCAAACATGAAACTATACTTGTTTAGGGAAAAAAAAAAAATTTAAAAAGTTCATGACAACATTCTTCCCACAGAACAAGTACACTTGCTTCCTTTCTGCTCATTGTTTTTTTTTTCCCTAGACATGTATAGCATACAGCGTAAACACTGCGTAAGGAAAATAAACGGTGCTGTCATATACAAATCTTTTTATTCCTCTAAGTAATGTTGAAGCAGGGGTTAAGGTAGGTTGGAGGTGGTTAGGGGGTAAAAGGAACTCTTATGGACCCCATTCTATATTCTTAAATATAAATTGCACTTCCATCTGAAAGAAAGATCTGTGAACTTACTTTCCAGACCCTGACGGTGGCCTTTTGGCTGATGTTGGTCTGCTTGAGTTACTGGCCTTTGACTGTGATCGAGATGAAATTTCCTGTTGTGAAAAAAAAAATTTTGCATGATACATAAATGATGGAATTGTTTATTTTAATGAGGTATAGTGAAACTCAATATAGGCTTTTAATTTTTTATGTTATTTCTTGAGGTTTAAGTTTTTTCAAAGTTCTTGTTTCTTTCAATGTTTGTCTCTGATCTTTAATTTACAATTACAGTAATTTGGAATTTCTAAAATTGGAAGAATTTTAAGAAATAGAATGCTATTAGTAAGTGTTAACTCTTTGCAAAAAGTTAGTAAAAGAAAATTTTCTTTTTTCTTTATTTTTCAAATTAACATTTCTAAGGTAATTTTTTTTGTTTTTTTGTAATGAATTACTACAAATTCAGACATTGCTATTACACTTAACTTACAGCATATCTGTTAACTTTCTTTTCTCTTTCTGTTAGTCCATCATCGAGTTCTCTGAAAATAAATGTGAAATTATGTGAAAAGATGAATCATAACTAGAACATTGAAAATTAGAATTGAAAGCCCTTGTAACTGGTAAATGCAAATTAAATGGGAAACAAAATCTTTCTGGAACTCACTCAAGAAACTCTTCTGTGTTGATGTTATCAAGTAAATGCGATTTGGCCAAGACATTTTCTTGCTCTTTCTGAAAGAAAAAAATTATTTTTTCTTAGACATTATTTACAGTGTCAGTTTGCCTTGCCTTGTTTGCTTTCAAATTACAGCTTTCATCATCAGCCTGTGGGGACTGACACATATGAAACAGTAATTCTTTTTTCTGACTTTTTTCCTTAAATTACATAATTTTTGCATAGAACCTGCAAACAATATCTGAATATATTATATCAGATGTTCCTACAGAAATATATATAATAAATTAAATATACGCACAACAAAATTATCGTATTCAATTACAATGATTTTCTAACTTGTTAATCATAAAATATATAAGTGAAAAATCTATTTTCATGCTAGTGGTTATTTCATTTTGCGCTTTTATTTACAGTTTTAATATGGTAAAATTTATAGTTATGTTTTGCATTAAATATTTATGATACCATACTTTTACTTTGTCAGACTTATGTCCCTTTACTTAAAACTTAAATCGTTGGACCACGTACCATAACCATTTCAGCTTCTTGTACCAGAGAGGCAGTCTTAGCTTCAAGTTCAGCATTTAATCTCCTGAAACATACATTTTACAATTATTTTAATAGGAGGAAGAGGGGTGGGGGGGGGGGGATATGTAGTCAGATGTTAGAGCATACCACTGCTTACTCATAGGTCTCAAGTTTGAATCCTGGGCGAGTCTGTAGGTTATCCCTGAGTCCACCCAACTCTGATGGGTACCTGACTCGTGTTAGGGAAACAAAGGCGACTGGGCATAACGCTGACCACACTATCCCCCTGCATGCTGCAGTCATTGAAACAGATTAACTCTACTTCATCCGCTCCATATTTTCTGGGCACAATGATAAGTTAATAGGGATTGTACAGAATGGATGAGTAAGTTATCATCACTGGTTCAAGTATTTTTTTCTATTTAATTTACATAATTATCTTCCTTACGACAGACAAATAAGCTTTTATTTTGACCATATGCTAAGTGAGAACTATTCCCATATGGTTTAAGATTTAAAACTGGTTTTTTAAAAAGTTTAAAATCTTACTTGTATTCTTCTTCCCTGCTGAGAATATCAGAATGTTTTCTTGTATCTGTACCAGACTTCTGTGCAGAAGACACATTGTCGCTGCTACTATGCATCTTATTCTTGAAATAATATGAAATGTATTGTTTTAGTAATTTTTATAATTTATGTGTAGTATATGTAAAAAATTTGAAGTTTTATTGCACTATTTCTACCCAAAAACTGGTATATCAAGTTTTGGTAATAATATAGTTTATCTAATTAAAAAACTAAATTTTAATAAATTAATAACATTTTAACTAATTTCCCAAATTTTTATAATTTTTTCAATACTATGGCTAGGTGAAGCACTTAGTTTTAATCACTTTTTTGAGGGGATTCATAAATTTCCTAAAAAAATCATAGTTTTAACTAATCAGAGAGCTGCTTTCTTTTTTTGCATATTTTGCATTATCACTTTTTTGACACCTCATGAAATTTTATTTTATTTAGGACTTAAGTCAGTTGGAGCCTTAAATTTTGCAATTAGGGCCTCTAAATTCTAAAAAAAATCATAGGGCCTATTAAAAATAATTTTAAATTGCGTAAGACATCCTAATACCTATCATTAAATGAATTAATTATTAATAGCTATGCTACAGTCACACACACACACACACTAATCACTACAGTCTACACTAAGTCTACAGACAAGACACACCTCACTCTCTAATTTAGAATAGTCACTAGTCTAGTTAATAGTTATTAGTTAAGTACATTTAGTAGACTTAAGTCTTAAGTTATTTAAGTTCACGTCTTAAAAAGTAGTTAATAAGTTAAAATAAAGTTTGTTAAAGTTAGGATTAGTTAGTTAGTTAGGTAGGAGGGTAATCTATTGTTTTGGGTACGTAAAATCGCGTGGCTTCTAATGTACGAAAAAGTTACCTCATTGTCAAAGCTTTAATAGAAGTATATTGTGATATATTTGTGTCAAATATTGTAGATGAATGAATAATAAACCTAAATCAATGGCTAAATATATCAATATGAGTCAGAAATTAGTTTTAAACAGCAGTGTTTGCGAGTAAGATTTCTTAAACAGCAGCCATTTGTAAAAATAGAGTGGCTTCCCCCTGAATCTCGCGCTATAAGTTTACAAACAAAACTTAGACAAAATGGCTGCTATAGTACAAGAGCATGGTTGCATCTGTTGGAAACATCGCTAGTCTTCATTTATTACTAAAAAAAATTTAATTCAATTGTTTAAAAACATGTACATAAATGAAATAAGGAAACATTTTTGTATTTTTCAAAACACAAATCCTCCTCAAGATGTGAAATAATTATTAAAATTTAAGGAGTCACCTGTTTTTCACATTACTAGTCGCGGGCGATTTTACGTACCCAAAACGATAGATTACCGGTGTAGGTAGGAGTGACTGAGACTTATGTGGACTCTTTTGGCTTAGGTAAAGCATCTTTAGATTGTTTGTCTTTAAATAATTAATTAATTTAAGATTTAAGGTAAGAAACACTTGTAGGCTGCGGATATATAAATATATATAAAGAAATTTACATTATGTGTTTTCGAACGAGTGGTGGAATTCTTCCTGCTGTCCGCCATTTTGTAAACAATAGGTGATGCTAAGATGTCGTTTCGGTTTTCGTTTGTCGTAAATTTAGCTACAACTTCTTTTCTTTATGTATACCTAAATTAAATTTACCTGAGTTTATATAAAGTATTTTTATTTTAAAAAATTTTGTGCATCTCGTTTACAAATTTTAGATAATGTAATATTTATTATAGCCTACCTTGTCAAACATTGTTAAAAAAAGAATAATGTCGTAATGGAAGGTTTAAACTACAGGTTTGCACTATGCATGAAAATATAAAATAACACTGGCAAGTTGACCTCCGTTAGTGTATTTCTCTACAACTTATTAAAAATGTAAATAGATCTAGATCTAGATCTATGTTCATTTGTTCGGCTAATTGAAAACACCGTTTAGTAATGTAATTCTATTCCCTTAAAAGTAGATCTAGGCCTAATTTTTTTTAGATTGTAGTTAACGGCATTAACCTCCTTGCATGCCAAAAAACTGTTGTTGTGAAGTGTAGTGGCCCACTGTTGTACTTAACTCTGTCCAGTACCTGTACTGAAGTTTACCCCCTATAATAGTGACTATAACTAGATCTAGTTTATTTTTAGTATAGGCCTATACTGAATACTGACCTATAATTATTTTAGCAGTTAAAACTTAACAACCCAACACACCTATTTTTGAAAGGGTAAAAATCTATCGTTTTGGGTACGTAAAATCGCCTGCGGCTAAATATTGTACAAAAACGTTACCTCATTGTCAAGGCTTTAATAGAAGTATATTGTGATATGTTTGTGTCAAATATTATAGATAAATCGATGGCTAAATATATCAATATAGACCAGAAATTAACTTTAAACAGCAGTGTCTGCGAGCAAGATTTGCTATATAATAAACAGCAGCCATTTGTAAAATAGAGTGGTTTCCACCTAAATCTCGCGCTATAAGCTTATTAAAATAAAACTTAAACAAGATGGATGCTATAGTAGTAAATGAGCCTGGTTGCATCTGTTGGAAACATCGCTAGTCTTCATTTATAATTTATTACGGAAAAGTTTTAATTCAAGTGTTTAAAAACAGGTACATAAATGAAACAAGGAAACATTTTGTATTTTAAAAAACATAAATCCTCCTCAAAATGTGAAATAATTATTAAAATTTAAGGAGTAACCTGTTTTTCACATTAAAAGTCGCGGGCGATTTTACATACCTAAAACGATAGATTACCTTTGAAAGAGTCTTCTAAATTTGATAAAACTCCATTTTAGCGTATTTTATTCTCCGCTTCTTGTTTACCTCCAGTTGAGCGTATTTTATTATAATAACCGAAACACACCAAAACATTATGATTAGGAAAACACGATTTATTTATTTGTATTGTATTTTTGTTTTCACATATGAATAAAAACAAAGAGACTCACTATGTTTTAGATTTTGATAATTTACTTTTGTCAAAACTTAAGAAAAATCCAAATTTGGAATATTGAATTTGAATGTGCTATGGTCGTGTGTCAGTTAGAATTTTCATGGCAAAGGGTGAAGTACGTAAACATAACTCACAATTGCAAGGCGGTTAAGTTTGTATTGTTACAAGTATCTCCCAGGCATGATACTATAAATACACATTTATGAACTTACAATGACCCCAAAACTGAGGCCAACACAATTTCAAACAGCTATTGCCCGAGCTATAACGTATGCTAATAATTAAAGTCAATGTGAATTCACGGTGAACCCGCGACCGTGTAAGGATTTTTCTCTCACACGATATTTAATTGGAACAGTTCTAATGCTTTTTTATGTTGTTTTTTTTTTTACCTTTTTTAATTAAAAATCACATTCATAAAAAAAAGTAGATTCTAGATCTAGTGTTTTCCTAAAGTTTTTGTGTGTTTCGGTTGTGTTATAATAAAATACGCTCAACTGGAGGTGAACGTGAAGCGGGAAATAAAATACGCTAAAATGGAATTTTACCCTAAATTTTACTACTAGATCTAATACTACTGACTTTAGGTGTAATTTCTAGATCTAGTAAAAGCCTGGAAACAAAATTATTTTGAAATACTAAACTAAATAGTAAATAGGTCTGATGGCTGGCAAACAAGGTTGTGTGATATGCTTGATTAATGAGTCACCTTTTTTTCACATTATTAGTCTCTGCGGATTTTACGTACTTAAAATGATAGATTACCAATAATTTTATTTCTTTTACCTATTGTAAAATTGTTTTTTTTTGCTAATGTTCTAATGTCATTAGACTTTGTATTACTAGGGTACAAATACCATCTAGGATATTATCACAATATATAAGCTGTTCACTAATGATTTATTCACTATTTTATTTTAGATTTCTTCACAGCAGTGAACATAAAAAAACTAAAGAACTAGGCCCTATTAATCACTTCATTGTTCAAAAAAGATTTCTTTTTCTACTGGAGGTCAGTTGGCTGTAAAAAAATGGCTTTGGCATTATCTGTTGTAAAGTAAGTATTGTAATTTACTGTCGAAATATTTTTACTGGGTTTTTTTTTAATGAAGTGACTACCCGGAAGAAGATTTTTCTCCCCAACGTCTCAACTTAGTCGGCAAAAGATAGCTCTGCGCATGCGCAGTGACCTATGGCTAGGGTTAGGGCTAGAATTAGGGTTAGGAATAGGGTTAGGGCTTGGGTTAGGGATAGGGTTAGGTTGGTGTTAGGGTTCTGCGTTTGTAAACACACGTATTCGCAGTACCATCGAAAACATCGTCGCGATGGCAAGTCGTAGTTTCTCTCCATTGCGCATGCATATCTTATTCCGGCTAATATCTGCCTTTTTTTAATTACCCTCCTTGCAATTATGTAATTGAACTGCCTTAGCAATATACGGAATTAATAAATTTATTATCAAATCATTGCTCTTAATGAAGTTTATTATCATTAATTACTCAGATATCACCTGTTTACATTCTCATGCAATTTGTTGTGAAATTAAATACGTAAATTTTTAAAATTCAGAGAAGAAGAAACCTACTCTTATATCCAGCATATAAATAACTTAATGTTATATCATTTGAAAATACTTAATTGTTTTCTTTATGTTTTATTTCTATTAGAAATGTGACTAAAGTATCCATAGCAGGGGGTTTTCTGTACTGGTCAGTTCAACAAGGCATTTGGGGCACAGCAGATCAAGGAGCTGAGGCTGGTCGAAGGATAGCCAAAGTTATTGCCCCTGCAACAGCAGAGTATATAGAAAAGGTTATAATCTTTCATTTTAAATCTATAAACACATTAAGAAAACAAGTTTTTGATGCAGCCCTGCCTACTTATACAATTTTGCATGTTATTTTAAGGTTTTGTACCCCAGGTTACAATATAAAGATTATGTTTAAATGGTTACGCTTCTGCCTACTGTAAAAATTGAAATCCTCACTTGCTTAAGATTTGTTTGTTTGGGGTCGTCACACTCGTAGCGGGGGTCTGTAATTTTGTGACTGTGTTTGGTGAGGGTGAGGGGCGGTTCAGATGGTGTGACGTCACTTATTTGCATTATAAAAAAAAGCAATGTTAGAAAACGAGTTTTAGCCATTATTTCGCGTTTTAGAAAACGGTTTTAATAAATTGTAATAGGAATTTATCAATATACTCCATGTTGACAAAGTTCTGACAAGATTTTGGAAAAATTACGATGTTTTAAGAAAAATAAACAACAATTTTGAGGGGGGGGGGGGGGGTTGTAGGCTGAGGTGTGATGTCATTTTAAGGGGGGTCTGGCTTTTTGTGACGACGTGTGACAAAGGGGGGGGGGGGGGGTAAAAATCGTCAAAAAAGCGTGACGCCATTTATGGATGACCCCCTTTGTTTTTTTGTCAATCTTTTGCTCCCGGTCTAAAGTTTTAAATACAGTTAGTTAAATTTACAATTGTATTATTTAGTATTTCTTGTTAATATGCGTCTTCTGTAACATTAAATCTCTTTTTCCCCCAACCTTTGTCTCAAAGTCAAGTATAGGTCGTATGTGGACAGTGTTGTTATTAAAACAAAATCTCCTTTTTTTTAACCAATGTTTCTAATCATAAAAATTATAAAGAATGCAAGAGTAGTTTGAAAAATTATGTGTTCTGAAATTTTTTTGCAGTTTACTTGGTTGTATACTTTGTGGTAATGTAAAATTGGATCTTATACAAAAAAAAGAGGATATGAAAAGTATTATGTTTCACAAAGCTATGGGCAGTAGCCACTTATATAACAGAAAATCTATCTTTTGTTACTTAATTTTTTTTTTATGGGGTAGTAGCCTTGTTGATATTTAAAAAGCTCAGTCCTACATCCAAAGATGTTTATGTTTGTCATTTAACCAAAAAAGTGAATCAAAACAGCTCAAGTAATACTGGTTGTTTCACAGTTAATGGTAGTAGTGTAATATAATATGATTATGAAGTTTCACATACATTTTTTTAATATATAGTTCTACCCACAGTTCTATATATAATAGTTTTATTTCTTGTTTAGTGTGAATTCTGCATGAATTCATTAGATTGCTAAAGATTTTAAAGGATACATTTTGTCAGTTGTCAATGTAGCTAAAACACATTTCTTATATAATATTAATGGATCTTAGGATTTTAAAATGTGCATTCCTGAATTGAGCATAATTTTTTTTTATTTCTCAAAACAAATAAAATAGTGCCATTTTGTAAAAGAGAGGCCTATAGCTCTTTCAATTGTATATTGTTTAATAAATTTTATTAAAATACTAATCATTATTGTATATATAAATATAACTGATTGTCTTTTTGATTATTAGATTCCACCTGTACCTGATTTTGGGAATTCATTTACAAAGAACTGGAACTCTGGTAAGTTTACAGAATTACTAAACATCAAAACTGTTCTTATAAAAAACAAATTGTGAGTTTAACTAGAGTTTAACACTGCCGCCTACAAATTAGCAAGCTCCCCATACAGTTTGTTTTTTTGAATGGAGTGTTTTATACAAGAGTTAAGACTGCATCTGTTGGTACAAAGTACAGTCTTGTAAACCATGTTTGGTATTTTCTGGGGCCACAAAGGGCATGTCTCACACAAATGGTTTCATCTATACAAATATTTCTTTTAACAAGGGGAGTAGCAGTAGAGTGCTGGACTGCTAGCCTTAAAGTCTTGAGTTTGGGTCTTGTTCCATACTAAAGACTGCAGAATGTCCTCGAGTCCATCCAGCTCTGATGGGTACATGAGTCATGTAAGGGAAATTAAAAAGCAGTAGAGCTTCATGCTGACCACACCATCTTTTCATATGCAGAGGTCAAGAAACTTGAATTCTACTTCTTCTGCCCTATAGGTCTTTAGATCTGAAATGAGAACCTTTTTTCACATGTATTATTGTTATTCACAGGAATGTCAGCAATCTTTTCTACCATGGCCAATATCCCAGATAATGTACAGGAATTAACCACCACGCTAACCAGCTACATCGAGAATGCTACAGCTACCAATCCTACAAGTGAAAAGAAATCTGAGAAAGAGGAATAAACCTGTTCTGTTGTATTTATTTTACTAAACATCTGTACACCATCATTGGGAGAATTTGAACATTCTGTCTTTCATTTGCATACTCCTAGAAACCATTCTCATCATAGTGATTCACATTGGCATGTTTTAGAATTATTAAAAATTGAGTTTTTATAAAATATGAATGTTATAAGTAACACTAAATACTAATGTTGACATTTCTGGTAAAATTTGTAACAGTGTATTAAGACATTGTCAATTCACTTACACTTATAAGGATATTTATTTTTTTCTCTTAAAAGAAAAATCTTCCATACCTTCGTAAGTACCCCAAGTGTAAATACTTTTTCAGCATCAAAGCATCAGATTTATATTTAACTTTGCATTTTAGATTTTTCACATCAAATGTTGGGTTTTAAAACTTGATGTTCATTTCTTAGAACATAGTAGTACCAAAGCTGGATCATAGTTGTGTTTAGGCAGTCACTCAACTGGTTGTAAGGTCATGACAGAAACTTACTAGCCTTTCATATGTTGAGTATATCTAATGTAGTTTTTATTCAAATGAATTTTTTTTAAATATGTGATAATGCAGGTGTATTATAAATAAAGTATTACTTGAAGAATAACTGAGTCTGATTCTTAATAGAGAAATAATAGTTGTGTTGCTACTAATTTATGTTGAAAATAAAAAAATATTTTCATAAAACTTGATGTTTTCTAAAATTTATAATTAGAATTTAAAAATTGTTTTTGCTTTCGGCATGTAATTTCACTTTAAAAAATAGCAGTTAAATAGATCATCATAGCATGTTGATTGTGAACTGTTTTCAAATACTTAACATGTTAGAATATTCCAATGCAGATGAGGCTCAATAGCTGGGGACAGCAAGTCAACTAGGAGAAAAAACTCCAAAATCAATGCACTGCTTCCTTGTATATTGTTCTTGGATGGACAAATCCAGAAAAAAATGTCATGTGTTGAAGGAATTCCTTCCAACAGTTATGAGTGAAGGAGAATTTAGAAGGTTGTGCAGGCTAATTGTGAAGTTGCAAAGAGAAATTGTTTCCTAATCATTAAGAAATGTCGTATCAACACATTTCATCACATTTGAAATAGTCGCTCTATAAAATGTTACACATAAATATGATAACCTTTTTTTTTTTAAAAAAAAAAAATCTATGGTTTATAATGAGGTTTGGTAAAAATTAAACATTTTGAAATCTTATATATTGGTAAAATAGATGATGTAGCCATTAACCACCAATAGCACTCCAGTGAATAATAGGTAAGGGGTCGTCCATAAATGACGTCAGACTCGTTGGGGGGAGGGGGGTCGGTAATTTTGAGACGGAGGGGGGGGGGGGGGTCAGATGGTGCGATGTCACACTTTTACATTATAAAAAAGAAATGTTAGAAAACGAATTTTAGACGTTATTTCACGTTTTAGAAAACTGTTTTAATAAATTGTAATAGGAATTGATTAAAATACTCTATTTTGACAGATTTCAGACCAGATTTTGGAAAAATATCGATGTTTAAAAAAAATTCAACTGCAATTTCGAGGGGGGGGGGTTGTAGGCTGAGGTGTGACGTCATTTTAGGGGGGGGAGGGGCTCTGGCTTTTTGTGACGACGTGTGACGGAGGGGAGGTAAAAATCGTCAAAAAAGTGTGACGTCATTTATGAATGACCCCTAAGGGTTGGTTGAAATTGCTTAACAAGTCGTTTTGCAGTAATAAAAATGAATTTACAAAGCATACGGCTATCTCAGATGTTCCACATAATTGTAAGCAAGTTAAGTGTTTGCCCTTCAGAGCTATAGGTTCATCAAACTCGCAATTGCTGTATTTACAATCATATTGGTTCAACTAGACCCTCGGCCAAATCCAAAAAAAAAACTTTTGACACATGCTGCACATACCAGATTTGCTATTGATTACTCTGAGAGTTCAGGCCTAGGATCTACCAGTAATCGTTTAATAATTTTTGTTTTTTTTAACTTCGCTGTTATAATTTTAAAGTTTTAATTTTGTATTCTATATAATAACAATAAATAATAATAATGTCATCATAATAAAAATAAATATTATGGTTTATAAGGTCCAGGGAGTGTGCAGGTAAATTCTTTGTTATTTAAGCAGCGGGGGGTTAATAAATCTGGCAACTTGTCGTCCAAAGTTGACGTACTGGTAATTTTGAGACAGAGATTCTATTCTAGCGAGTTTCTAAATCTTAAAATCTGAATTCTTGATCCGAATTTCTAAACCTAGTGCCTACATTTAAGATTCTAGTAAGTTTGCTTTCCTATCTATAGATTAGTTAGCAGAATAACTTGATCCAGATCTAATCTAGATCTATGTAAAATAATAAATTGTGTACTGTAAGTATTCTGGGAACGTTTACCGGCGCCATACCGGTTACCGAGTTCGGTAATCGCCCGCGACAAGTTATGTGAAAAACAGGTGACTCCTTAAATTTTAATAATTATTTCACATTTTGAGAAGGATTTATGTTTTGAAAAATACAAAAACATTTCCTTGTTTCATTTATTATGTACCTGTTTTTAAACAACTGAATTAAAACTTTTCAGTAATAAATTATAAAGAAGACAAAGACTAGTGATGTTTTCAACAGATACAATCATGCTCATTTACTACTATAAGTATAGCAGCCATCTTGTTTATTATTTTTTTATTGTAAACTTATAGCGCAAGATTCAGGGGAAGCCACTCTAACTTACAGATGGCCGCTTTTTATATACTATATAGCAAATCCTGCTCGCAAACACTGCTGTTTAAAGTTAATTTCTTGCCTATATTCAATATTCATTTAGCAGTTGATTTAGGTTTATTATTCATTTATCTATAAGTATAATATTTGACACAAATATATCTCAATTCAATATAGATTCCTACTTCTATTAAAGCCTTGACAATGAGGTAACTGTTTCGTACATTACTAGCCGCTGGCGATTTTACGTACTTAAAACGATAGATTACCCCGAGTTCAGTTTACCGTTTAATTAATAATTTTAAAATGTTAATGTGTTTTTTGTTTTAAAACATTAAAATCCCAAAAATTAAAAACCACTAACCAGTAATTTCTAGACTTTTCTAGAATCTAATCTAGACTCACTAGATCTAGATCTACTATTAGATCTACTAGATTCTACTTCTAGTGCTAGTCTTAGTCTAGCCTCCTTCCAATACTTCCATTAGTTAGTTTAACTGTTAGCTGCAGTCTACATTATTATTAAAGTTAGTTAGATCTATGATTCTATGTACTAGATCTATATCAGATTAGACAGATATCTAGCTAGGATCTAGATTTAACTTATACTACTGAATCTAGATCTAGATATTTAGACAGCTGTAAATAAATGCTAAATACTAAATAAGTGGAATAGTATGTAGCATTTGAGGCAAAGGGAAGACAACGCATACGATCTAGATCTAGAACTTTTTGACTGTGTTTTTAAATTTTGTTTCCGCCACCATCTCTTATTAAATTCAAAATTAATATGATATACTTTCACACTAGAAATACAGATCAACCACATTTTCAAAATCTACTAAGGTTCACCTTTACTCCTATAGTGACCTATATTATTTGCCTGGTCACAAGACTATACAAAAATACATTTTTAATTAGTTTTTAGGATTTAGATCTACATCAGACATTTTGTTTATTCCATTGTAATTAGTCATAGATCTAGTAAAAATCTATTTTTGAAAAAAAAAAGTATACCAAAAAACTTAAACAAGCCTGCTCAATTTGTAGTGAAAGTTTACATAAAAGAACCTCCCCTGTTTCCTAATTTATTATCATTCAAATTTTAAAAAGAATTTGCTTGTGTAAGATTTCATGAGCGACTAACACTTTGTCTAGAGATGGTTTTTTTCATATCAGTACATTTTATTAAAAGCTTATTATTAAAAAGGTTTTTATACTTGTATTAAAAATTGACTGGTCTTTATATTGGTAATACAGGTGACTTTTATAAACGTGAAGGTTTTAAAGTAGTTAAGTTTAATTTAAGCTAAGGATTGGAATTATGATAATGAAATCTAGATTAAGTGACTAACAAATGATGCCATATTAGATATATGTCCTATGCACCGAGAAAGCTAAATATTTTTAAAATGTCAAATGATTTTTTACTCAAAATTTCAAATTAAGGGTTACTTATAAAAGACATTAGTATTTGTTGTTGTTTTTTTTTTTTTGTTACTTACTTGCATTTACAAAAATTATGACAACTCTTTTCTTAATATATTACACCATTCAATGTGTTACAGAAAAATTACATATGTGTTTCTTAAGAATTGCTAACTATATTGCTCTTTTATAAAACAAATTATTGCACTTTAAATTTACTATTGATTTTTTTACTGGGATTACTAAATAATTATAATACAGCACTTATGACTTCCAAAAAAAACAACAGGTAATCAGCAAGATGGTTTTTAGCCAAGTGACCAAAACTCTTGTTCGACGTTTCACAACCAACTCAGTTAAGCTGAGTCAAGAATGGCAGCAAGGCGGAGTGCCAGGATCAGTGAGTTGATGATTTATTCATTAATCATCAGGTTATATACCCTACTTATGGGTGATATTGCTCATTCTCTCATCTATGCTAGTTGTTGTGTGTGGCCGAGTTCATCATGTCTCTAACTTTTAAGTGGGGGTTAGAATTTATTGCAGTAAACAGTATAGATCTGTACAGATTAAAGCTATGTCAGGTAAAGTCTAGGTCATTACTCAACTCAGTCTTTAAGTTACAAACTCTAGTCCTTAGCCCATCCAGCTCTGATGGGTACCTGGCTCATGTAAGGGAAAGTAAAGGGAACTAACTATACTACCTCCTCAGATGCCAATATTATAGAAACATCTTCCCTATTGATCAAAAGATTAACTTTCTACCCCTAATTATCTTTAGAAATAAGTGAGCTTTTGGACTGTCTATAAGCACAATCAAGGTCTTGAAAGTAATATTGTAATGTTATAAAATGTAAAAAAAAAAATATTATTTTTTTTTTTTTTTTTTTTTTTTTTTTGAGTTGAAAGATGTAACTTTGATTTCTAAAGCTTTTATTATAAAAAAAATATTAAACTAGTGGATACAAGAAAAAAATTTTTTTTATTCTATTCTTCAACAGAACCTTCCATTCAACATCCACAACAAGAAATTGTTGACAGTGAATTTCATCCTGTTCTTTGGTAGTGGCCTGTCCGTACCCTTTGTATTGACAAGACGCTTCCTGTTGCTCCAGTATGCTGACAGAGTTCCAGTCAGTGCTCCAGCTAAGCCTAAGCTGATTAAGCCAGTTTTTGAAGAACCTGATCTTGACAAGAATACCCTCTTTCAGTCTCATTACCAGGAACTGAGTTTCTAAATTGGTTTCAGTAGCTACAGTGGACTAGTAAAAGAATTATTATTTGACAGGAGTTTATTTTTATGATTTCATGAATTAAAATTTTTTACCAGACGACTAAGACTACATTTTTGCTTGCAGTTTTGTTAAATATTATAATCTCCTAAGAATGAGGTAGTCCTATTAGGGCAGCCTGAACTATCTAGACATTGGATGTTAAAGTATATGAAGTAGCAAAGTGCCACACAATGTAAGGTGGTAAGAAACGATTGCTTAAAGTTATCATGTGCTTCTTTAGGCAATGACTAGCCCTAGTCTTGATTTCAGCTTACTGGGTACAACATAGTCAGTCATACTTCTCTGAGTCTAATCAGCTAAAGTGGGTACTTGACTTGAGGAGAGGTGAAGGTTGTTAGGCATGGTGCTGACCACACTATTCTTTCATAATATGCCTGTCAGAGAAACTTTAATTCTGCCTCATGGGCTTTCCACTCCAAAAGAAGGGTTGTTGAAGTTTAAATGTTTTTTGAGTCTTAGTGGGAAATGGTGTTTCTTTTCTATTTTTTGTACTCCTGATATGATAGTGATGAGATTGAAATGGTTACACGCCTCAGCTCTAAGGTTCTTTTTGGCAAGTTGGTCTTAAAAGTTAAATTGAAGTTAAAAGAGAGTTACTCTTTTTTTTTGTGCGTTCATACTGGCTCGTTTATTTACCAGGGATGGTGTTTGCTGAATCAAAGGAAAACAGATGTAATTATTTTTAAGGAAATCCTTCTTTTACACTGACAGGAAAATCCAGTTTTTATTTCCTTGACGTTTACCAATTTAATGTCAATAACTTACTAGAATCTAGTAATATGGTAAGGCATCCTGTTTCAGATGGGGGGGGGGGGTTCCATTCCATTTATTTTTTTAGTGTTCATGTATATAAATATAACATCTCTTAAAGTTAAAGGGGGATGGGATAGGAATATTAATCAAGCAGGTGGAAGAAAATGTGTCGATTGGTACTAATGGTACTGGTAGGCTTACTCTTTACAGGGTTCGTACGCAGTCTGGAAAAAAGTCTTGAATTTAGAAAAGTGAATTGAAGACTTTAAAAAGTCTGGAAAATCGCTAGTTTTTGGGCAGGATTTTTTAAAAGTCTGGAATCTAGTTTTAGAAACAAAACTTCGTAGTCCATATTTTCCAACTTAAAAAATTGCTATTTTTAAGTGAATTCACTCCAATTTTTTTCCGCTCTATCGCGCGGGTTTACGCTATGTTTGTTGTGACGTTTTTTCGCTGGTTCGCAGGGGGAAAAAAACGGATGCTCAATTACTACGTCATTGGGAGAAGAGGGGAAGGGAGGGAAGAGATATTTTGTGGCACGACTGACCGTGTGAATGTGTTACAAGTACTTACAATTGTCATTTAATGAAAGAAAGATCGCCGTCATGATTGTTAGGCTCTCGATTTTACCCGCTATTTTTTCATCGTTTGAGTTTGCATGCAGGCAGTCATAACAAAAAATTATGGGGGAGATGTGTGAGTGGTAGTTTAGATATAATTTATCAGTCTGTAAGGCGTCATCCATTTATGACTTACAACAATTTTTCGAATTTTAGACCCCCCCCCCCTTTCTCCACTTCCCCCCCCCCCCCCCCCCGCCCTCTGTCCACACGCGTTCACTTACTTTGGATTAATATTAACATTTATAAGATTAATAAGTCGCAAGGCCTCCTTGGGTTCATACCTGTATTTCTGTTTGCTTCAGCGGTCGCTTACCAAAGAGGTACTATTTTTATTTAGGAGTCGTCCATAAATGACGTCACACTCCGGAAAGTCGGGAGGAGGGTTTTATAAAGTGTGACGACACGCTCTTGCAATATTTGTTAGGGCAGATATAAATACCGTGTTTTATTTACACGCTGTGATGGTTTTTAAAACACCAGCACAGTCCTCTTAATTTTACTTTCTACTCGCAAGATACAAGTTTTATGTTTGTTTTAGAATGTAATCACAAAATCTTCCGACCCCTTTCCCCCCTCCATGTGTACGTCATAAATGGATGACCCTTTAATTTTAATCCACCTTCCATTAAACTGTTTTTGAAATCTTTGCAAATGCTGACGATTAAAGTTAGACTACCCCGCCCCTCCTTGTAACATCGGTCACTTGTGTGAACTCACCGTGACCCCAAGTTGGTACCGCTTGGTAAGTAGGGTAGGGGAGGGGGTATAAGTCACAGCACAGTTCATGTTATGACGTATTAAACAGGCATACTGAAGTCTAGACTACTATGACCTCACAGTGACCCCTTGCTCCACTTTTTTTTTACAAGTAGCCTATATTAGGCTACTTAACAAGAGCAGACCTAAATTAATGCATTACATTATTATTCTTTAAAGTAATTAACTCTCACTATTATGCAATACCATTTTAATGATAGTTCAAATGAAAACATAAGCAATTAGATCAGGAACAGATTATATAAGTCTAATGTTGGAAACAAAATAGTTGCATCATTTTAATCAATTATTTTAATTGTTAAAATTTTAGGCAGGGTGGAGTAGGCAAACTTAGAAAAAATGATTTTCTGTCAATTTGGCTAGAGAAAGTTCACTATGAATATAGCTCAATTGCCTAAAATAAATGTCAATTTAGTATAAGTAATTATAATGACAGTACAAATAGTGCATCATTTTAAAAAATATTCACTAACATATTATCTGTCTAAAGTCTGGAATTTTTCCAAAAAAGTCTGGAATTTCATTTTCAAAAAGCAGTACGAACCCTGTCTTTAAGTGACTCAAGAATGGAGCTTTTCTCTGAACTTAAAGCTTATTTATAGTCATATTTAAAAACAATCTCCACACAGGTCGTTTTATAAGGGTGTAAAATATAGGCCTACACCAAATATTACAGCACAGTCAAACGTAGGGAGACCAACATGACTTCTATGTAAAGATAACTGTGTTTTTATCATGACTAGAGACAAAACTGAGTCAAGACAAATACACAAACGACCCTTTACTAAAACACCCTTTCAAAATTAATGGCCTAGCATCAGTTTCAGGCATCACTTCGTGGAGAGGGGGTGGGGGTCCCCCGCCTAAGCACTTCTGTTCCACCACCGTCATTCATGCAGTTAGCCATTGCTCTCTTAGGACACGGCCTTAGGGGGTCGTCCATAAATGACGTCACACTCGTAGGGGGTAGGGGGGGGGGAGGTTCAGATGGTGCGATGTCACACTTTTGCTTTATAGATAAGAAATGTTAGAAAACAAGTTTAGACGTTATTTAGCGTTTTAGAAAACAGTTTTAATAAATTATAATAGAAATTGATTAAAATACTCTATTTTGACATATTTCAGACACGATTTTGAAAAAATATCTGTTTAAAAAAATTCAACTGCAATTTTGAGGAAGGTTGTAGGCTGAGGTGTGACGTCATTTTAGGGGGGGGGGGGGGGTGTCTGGCTTTTTGTGACGGAGGGGAGGGGGGAGGTAAAAAATCGTCAAAAAAGACCCCCCCCCCCCTTAAGATGACGTCACACCTCAAAATTGCAGTTGATTTTTTTTTTTAAACATCGATATTTTTTAAAAATCTTGTCTGAACTCTGTCAAAATAGAGTATTTTAATCAATTCCTATAACAATTTATTAAAACAGTTTTCTAAAACGCGAAATTATGTCTAAAATTCGTTTTCTAGCATTTCTTTTTTATAATGCAAAAGTGTGACGTCGCACCATCTGAACCCCCCTCACCCCCCCCCCTCATCACACACCGTCACAAAATTACGGACCCCTCACCCCTACGAGTGTGACGAGATTTATGGACGACCCCTTAAGCCAATCAATTCTAATAGATTACAATTTTAATAAAAGTAGGTACACGTATATTTTAAGATTCAAAAGTAGAAGCTAACTAGATTCTATTTTTTAACGATGCGTTATTTTGAATATCGCTTAGAGACATTTTACGGATAAATAACCACAAACAAATAGAACAAAGCCAGTTTTACAAGTTTTTTTTTTATTTTGTCGATTAACGGTGTTGGTACATCATTTTTATTCAATGGTGTGGTTTGTGAGGTCCCTGTGTTGGATGTGGGGGGTGAGTGTGGGCGTCACAGCTGTTGTGTATTTCGCTGTTAAAAAAAAAATATGTTATACAGAAAACAAGAAACGAGGGGAAGCAACATTAATTAGAAATGCATTCATTTATATCGTCCCTTTACATCGCGAGTTCAAAGATACGGAACACAAGTGTCAAATAATGTTATTTGTAATTGTATAACTTTACACTATCAATTTTGCATAATTTGTATTTTGTTTAGTCTGTCTTTACATAACAAGTTACAATTTGTGCTTAGGCAATGGACTATTTTGGCCTCTCTAGGTGTGGTAACATCCGGTGAGATAACTCTAAGTGTACCAACTCTAATGACATTATATAGGCCTATATATATATATATATATATATATATATATATATATATATATATATATATATATATAGGTCTATATATATATATAGGACTATATATATATACATAGGTCTATATATACATAGGACTATATATATATATATATATATATATATATATATATATATATATATATATATATATATATATATATATATATATATATATTATCCCATAAACATATAAACGAGTCACATTAAAGTTTACCCAGTGGTACAGTGGCATAGGCAAGGGCAGGCGGTTACAACCCCTCCCACGAACCCCTATATATATATATATATATATATATATATATATATATATATATATATATATATATATTTATTTATTTATTTATTTATTTATTTATTTATTTATTTATACATATATATATATATATATATATATATATAAACATATATATATATATATATATATATATATATATATATATATATATATATATATATATATGATTTTATACACAAGGAAAATTGTTTGAACCCCTCCCATGACGACTTCCTGGCTACGCCACTGCAGTGGTATGTCTTGCATAGTCTCTTAACCTTCTTGCAATTAAGAAATATTTCGAGTGAGAAAATAAAATGTTGAAAAAACACTATCACAACAATCCCCCCCACCCCCCCCCCCCCCCCCCACCCCC